AAAAAAAAAAAAAAAAAGGCAGAATTGGCCATGTGATCTATGCACATTTCTCTAACACTACTAGTCTATGTACTTTGCCAAGGTTGAGCTGCTATCAAAGCCAAGTCGCCCTAATTCAGTCAGACTACCTTAAGACACAATAACTGTACTGCAGATACATCATTATTATTGCATAGAAGAGAGGATACTTTCACTGATCACTCCCCCACATCTTTGGGCCAGAGGGTGGCTTTATCAGAGCTTCCAACCTTTCTTTGACAACAGCGTTCAACAAGGACTTCCTCCTTTGAAGCTCATACCAGCCTTTTTCCCTTCCTGTCTTCTGACCTCCGGATAACTCCTTCACATTTCTGATTACTTGGCATCTAAATAAAACTTTGGTCTTTATACTAGTACCCTCCAAAATACCTTAGAGAATGATCCAGTCAATACTTTATTTCAATTAGAAGGAAATGAGACATCTACAGAAGTTAAATGGTGAATTGAGCAAGGCCTCACAAGATCAGCATCTGGTCTTCTGCTTCCCAGGTTCAGCCATGGAGTTTCCTCATCCTGACCAAATATAAGCAGGCTTTTAAAAAGTGGCTCTTTACTACTATAAATATACTAAAACAAACAAGCAAACAAACTCACTGCCCTCGAGTCGATCTTGATTCATAGTGACCCCTTCTTGGGTATCCGAGGCAGTATCACTACAGAAGTAGATTGCCCCATCTTCCTTCTGAGGAATGGCCGGTGGGTTTGAACCTCCAGCCTTCTGGTTAGCAGTCAAATGCCTTAGGCACTACACCACCAGAGCTCCTATAAATACACTGTTGTTTTTATGTGCCATGGAGTCGGACCCAACTCATAGCAACCCCTCCTTGGGTTTCCAGAGCAGTATCACTATGGAAGTAGATTGCTGAACCTTCCTTCCAAGGAGTAGCTGGTGGGTATGCTAGGACCTGCTTATAAAGAAGTATGACAACTTCTTAATTTATAGTGGAGCATAAACTTTTCCTGGGACAAGATTATGTGTGTCTCCTACAACTTCTTGGAATTAGAGTGAAGTGAAGGTAGAGGTAACAGCCTAAAAAAGAAGACAAATTAATCAAAATTATAAATACATATTCTAAGTATTATAATAGAGGTATACATGGGATGCTATGGGAACTACTTCTGTAGTGATACTGCCTTGGAAACCCAAAGAGGGGTCACTATGAGTCAGGTCCGACTCATTGGCACCTAACAACAACAACAACAAACTTACTCATAATTCAGAATTCCACTAGAAATCCAATTTCCTAAGCCAGAAGCCACAATTATCTTTGTCACCTTACACTCTCTCAGCTTTAGTATGCTTCAATAAACACTTCCTTTTTTTTTTTTTTTTTCAAATAAACAAGGTAAAATCTATTACTGGATTTTCCTAGTGACATTTTACTTCTTTCTGATATTATTCTATAAATTCATTTCTTTTCACCTATACCTGTACTATACAACCTTCTGCTGTTGAGCCAGTCCTGACTCATGGCAAGCCCCCGTGTTACAGACTACACCTGCTCTCTAGGGTTCTCTTGGCTGTAACCTTTATGAAAGTGGATCTCCAGGCTTTTCATCTGCGGCACAGCTGAGAGGGTTTGAGCTGCCAATCTTTAGGTTAGTGTCAAGCACTTAAACATTTACATCAATTCTAAATCAATAATCCTATGAGTGTTCCTCTTCTCTACTCCAAGAAAATGATGAATTTGATTTGTATGTTTGTTTAATTTTGATTTCCTTGGTATTCCAGACAAGTAAACTCTTAAGGTAGATCAGGGGAAAATCTAATGTTTGATATTTCTGTTATTGTGGAAATGATGTGATAGAAGCAAAAACAAACAAAATAATGTGATTTCTTTTTCAATCAACAGATAACAGCTATGAGGAAGGAATATTTTGTACGTACCTGGAACATTTTTGAGTTAGCAATTACATTTGTTGGTATCATAGATGTAGCACTTGGTGAGAAAACGGTCAATACATACAATTTTTATATCATTAAAATAACAGACATTATTAAAATGGTTCAACTACTTCGTTTACTACGTATCTTGAAGGTAAAGAACAATCAAATCATGCAATTTCAAGTTTCTCTTCAATTGTTTCACGAAATATGGAGTAAAATTAGCTTACTAGTCTTATAGTTACCACTTTCTGTTGGGCTCATGCTTGTCTAACATCTTATATTAAGAATACCAAAATAATACTGGAAATTCATTTAATACATGAGAGTATACAACTACTCATCACAGATTTTCTTTGAATAGAGGACAGAACATGAAAAATTCCATATAAATGTAAATACAAATTAAGCCCAAAATAATGTTTATCTTATACATACCTAGGCATTAAAAGATGAATATCAATCAACAAAACAAAATACTAGGCAACTCATTCACAGTGGCAAAGCATATATAGCATGCATTCATATAAATCAAAAAACAAGAAAATGCACTTTCAGTTTTACGTAGTTGTATATACTATTCTGGAATCATGCATCAAAAATTACTTTTGATTATCTAATATGTTAACTAATGCAATGTAAAAAATCCTTTCTGTAATAATAATGAATGGTAGTTATATATTTTCTCTGTGATTTCAGTGATGTGAGACTCATTTCTTCATGGCAAGGCGTATGAAGTAAAAATGGATGCAGATAGAGTCTATCTCTCACTTTCCTAGGGCTGCCATAACAAAATACCTCAAGTGAATGGCCTTAAAGGATAGAAATTTTTCTCACAATTCTACGGGGGTCCAAATCAGTACTTTGGCATGTCAATTCCTTTTGCAGGCCTTGACAGGAAAACTATTTCATACTCCCTCTTAGTTTCTGGTGCCTGCTGGCAATCCTTGGTATATTTTGCTACTTACAGATGCATCTGCTTCTGTGATTGCATGGTGTCTATCTTCCCACTTGTTTCCATGTCTGTTCTCCCCTTTTATAAGACACAATTAAGAAGAGGACAGGATTAGGATCCAACCTACTATGGGATCACTTAACAGATAATATCTTCAAAACAAACCTCATTTTCCCAAACAAGGTCACATTCATAAGCACAAGAGTTAATACTTCCACATATCTTTCTGGAGGACACAATTCAATCTATAGCCCTCTCCATAGCTCTCTCTTTCTCTATTCATACACAAGCAAGCAAGCAAGACACACACTTATATGTACACACACACACACATATTCATATATATATATATATATATATATATAGGGAGCTCTGGTAGCATAGTGCCTAAGGCGCTTGACTGCTAACCAGAAGGCTGGCGGTTCAAACCCACCAGCCACTCCTCGGAAGGAAGGTTGGGCAATCCTACTTCCATAGTGATACTGCCTCGGAAACCCAAGGAGGGGTCGCTATGAGTCGGGGCCGACTCAACGGCACATGACAACAACAACAACAATATATATATGTATCTCACTGTGGGAGATAGAAAACTAAACAAAACATGCGGCAATAAAGCTAACAGATTAGAATCTTTACATTTAGAGCTTCAAAGCATATGTTTATAAATGTCTCTTGCCACTGAGAGATATGCTCCAAAAAATCTACCAAGTCTAAATGTATGAAACAATAGCCTTTTCCCTTTCAGTGTGATATGGGACTGTATGTAATGCTAGTGTGTGATTTGACCTGAGTAAGGAAAGTCTGATGCATTCCAGTGACTAGTTAATTCTTCCTGATAGGAGAATATACAGATACTGTCAACCCCTTTAGATAAAGGAACTATTAAACTACTTAAGAAAACTTTTTTTATGCATTCAAGAAACCTTGAAACTTTATCTTGTATCACATGGTAGGCCCTAGGAATATGATGAAAAAATAGATATAGTCTCTGTCCTAATAGAACTTTTTGGATTTTTGTAGAAGAATATGACAAGAAATCCATATATTCCAGTGTTGTTCTGTGCAAGATAGTGGTATGCACAGAATACTGTGGGATAGAAAAGACTTCCTTTATTAGGACATATTTAAGTGGAATCTTGAAGAATGAGTATAAGTTTTTTTTATGATTGGTGCCAAGTGATTGTTGTTGTTGAGTGCTATCGAGTTGGCTCTGACTCGTAGTGACCCTGTGTACAATAGAATGAAACACTGCCCGGTCCTGTGCCAGCCTCACAATCCTTGCTATACCAGAGCTCACCATTCCAGCCACTGTGTCAGTCCACCATGTTGAGGGCCTTTCATTGGCCCTCCACTTTACCAAGCACAATATCCTTCTCCAGGAAATTCTCCCTTCTTACAACATGACCAAAGTAGGTGAGATGAAGTCTGGCCATTCTGGTTTCCAAGGAGCATTCTCGGTGCAATTCTTGCAGGACAGATTTGATAGTTCTTCTGGCAGTCCACAGTACTTCCAGTATTCTTCAACACCACAACTCAAAAGTATCAACTCTTCTTCAGTCTTCCTTATTCATTGTCCAGCTTTCATATACACATGAGGCTATTGAAAATACCATGGCTTGGGTTAGTCTTAGTCTTCAAAGAGACATCTTTGCTCTTCAGCACTTTAAAAAGATCTTTTGCAATGGATTTGCCCAGCCCAATAAGTCATCTAATATGTTGATTGCTGCTTCCTTTGGTGTTGATTGTGGAACCAAGTAATATGAAATCTTTGAAAACTTCAATCTTTTCTCCATTTATTGTGATGCTGCTTATTGGCCCAGTTACAAGGATTTATGTTTTGTATATGTTGAGATCTGAGGACTGTAGTCTTTAATCTTCATCAGTAAGAGCTTCAAGTCATCCTCACTTTCAGCAAGCAAAGTTGTGTCATCTGCATATTGCAGGTTTTTAGTGAGTCTTCCTCTAGTCCTGATGCCACACACTTCCTCATATAGTCCATCTTCTTGGATTATTTGCTCATCATACAGATTGAATAAGTGTGGCTAAAGGATACAACCCTGACACACTCCATTCCTGATTTTAAACCATGCAGTCTCCCCTTGTTCTGTTTGAACAACAGCCTCCTGGTCTATGTACAGAGTCCTCATGAGCACAATTAAGTGTTCTGGAATTCCCATTCTTCTCAATGTTATCCATAATTTATTATGATCTGCACAATCGAGTGCTTTTGCATAGTCAATAAAACACAAGTAAACATCTTTCAGCCAAGATCCATCTGACATTAGTTATGATATTCCTTGCTCCATATCCCCTTCTGAATCCAGCTTGCATTTCTGGAAGTTCTGTGTCAATATACTGCTGTAACCATTTTTGAATTATCTTCAACAATATTTTACTTGCATGTGATATTAATGATATTGTTCAAAAATTTCCATGTTCTGTAGAATAATATTTATTTGGAATGGGTACAAATATGAATATCTTCCAGTTAGTCAGCCAGGTAGCTGTTTTCCAAATTTCTTGGCATAGACAAGTGAGTGCCTCCAGCGTCGCATCTCAATGGGTATTCCATCAATTCCTGGAGCCTTGTTTTTCACCACTTGCATCAGTGCAGCTTCAACTTCTTCCTTCAATACCATTGGTTCTTGATTATATGCCACCTCCTGAAATGGATGAACATCAACCAATTCTTTTTGGTACAGTGACTCTGTATATTCCTTCCATCTTCTTTTGATGCTTCCTGTATCGTTCAATATTTTGCCCACACAATCTTTCAATATTGCAACTCAAGGCTTAAATTTTTTCCACAGTTCTTTTAGCTTGAGAAATGCTGAGTGTGTTCTTCCCTTTTGGTTTTCTAACTCCAGGTCTTTACACATTTCATTATAGTAATCGGCTTTCTCTTCTTGAGCTGCTCTTTGAAATCTTCTGTTCAGCTCTTTATCTTGTCATTTCTTCCATTTGCTTTAGCTATTCTCTGTTCAAGAGCAAGTTTCAGAGTCTCTTCTGGCATCCATTTTGGTCTTTTCTTCCTCTCCTGTCTTTTCCATGACCTTTTGCTTTCTTCATGGATGATGTTCTTGATGTTATTGTCAGGTGCCATTGAGTCGCTTCCGACTCATTGCGACCCCATGCACAGCAGAACAAAACAGTGCCCGATCCCACACCAGCTCCATGATCCTTGCTATATTTGAGCCCATTGTCGCAGCCACTGTGTCGATCCATCTCATCAAAGGCCCTCTTTCATCAACCCCTCCACCTAACCAAGCATGACATCCTTCTCCAGGGAATGGTCCCCTCTGACTACATGACCAAAGTAGGTACGATGAAGTCTGGCCATCCTCGTTTCTAAGGAGCTTCTTGGCTGCACTTCCTCCAGGACAGATCTGTTAGTTCTTTTGGCAGTCCATGGTACCTTCAGCATTCTTCGCCAGCACCACAACTCAAAAGCATCAACTCTTCTTTGGTCTTCCTTATTCATTGCCCAGCTCTCACATGCATACGAGGCAATTGGAAATATCATGGCCTGTATCAGGCACATCTTAGTCCTCAAGGAGACATCCTTGCTCCTCAGCACTTGAAAGAGTTCCTTCACAACCAACCTGCCCAGTGCCACACATCATCTAATGTCCTTACTGCTGCTTCCATTGGCCTCGATTGTAGAACCAAGCAACATGAATTCTTTGACAACCGCAATATGTTCTCCATTTATCATGATGCTGCTTATTGATTCTTGATGTCATCCCATAACTCCTCTGGTTTTCAGTCATTGGTGTTCAGTACACCACATCTATTCTTCAGATGGTCTTTAAATTCAGGAGGGATAGAATCAAGTCATATTTTGGCTCTATGGACTTGTTTTAATTGTCTTCAGCTTCAACTTGAACTGATAGTCTGTTCCATAGTCAGCTCCTGGCCTTATTTTGGCTGAAGATATTGAGCTTCTCTATCACTTCTTTCCACAGATGTAGTCATTTTGATTCCTATGTACTCCTTCTGGCAAGTTCATGCATATACCACATTGTTGGGGAGTAAAATATGGGGGTTGTGGAGCATGGGCAGGGAACAACCAGCTTTGAAGAGAGGGTCATTGAACGATGATAAAGGATAAACAAATCCTCAACAAATAAATGAAGACCAAAGAAGTTAATTGTGGGGTTTAACAAGGAATAAAGCTGTGAAGGGTTCTAACCCCAATGGGACACCTACTAGAAAGTTTAGTAGGAGATTTAATATGCAAACACAGAAGTGTTTCATAGACTTCATTACTGAAACCTAAGTGCCAGAGATTAATTACATTGTTTTCTAAGAATTTTAACCAGTTGAAAATAGCATCGAATTTTCTTTAAGGGAAATAAGAAGAATTAAGTCATAAACTTCACATAGGTGTCCAACATTATTAAGGTGCTCTGGTCACACAGTTTCTAAGGCATTTGACTGATAACCAGGAGGTTGGCAGTTCAAACCCACCAGCAACTTCAGTAAAGATTTATCACCTTAGAAACCCAAACTGGTCATAATGAGTTGGAATCATTTTTTAGTTACAGAGAAATAACTATAGCTATGAAGTAACTATATATATATTATAAAATATATAACTGTATATATTATAAAATAAGTAAGAACCTTGGCAGGTTATTGTAGTTTACCTTTGAGAGTGCTTCATTTCTTATTGTCTATATTGATTGGGCAATTTACTTCCATAGGAATACTGCCTCGGAAATCCAAAGAGAGGTCACTATAAGTCAGATCGACTCAAGGGCAGAGAGTTTGTTTTCTTTTTATTTTTGGGGGGAGAAGTATACTGGTTAAACTAATTAACATATAATTAAGGAACATTGTTACAATTTCTACTAAATGGTGTTCCTGTTTTTTCAGCTTGTAACGCCAAAGTTGGTGCAACTAATAGATAAAAGAATGAGTCAAGAGCTGTCCTTTAAGTATGCTATACTAAAAGGTTATGTCCAAGGTGAAGCAGACATAATGAGTGTAATTGATCAGATTTCAAACTCTAAACAGGTTAAACAGGTGAGGAAAATCTTAATACTAAGAAAACGGTTCCATCTCCCATCCCCTGACCTCAGCTAGCCTCCCCATCATATTCTTGTCTTTTATTCTGCCTAATCCCTGAAAAATTCTCTATCATATTTTTGAAGTTATAATTTAAGTAAAAAATTCATCAGTTGCCAATGTAAAACTATTTTCTAACTGTCCATTTTTCCAATGAGTGTAACATTTCTTTTGTTCTGTAGATGTTATTAAAGCGGATAACAAGAAATACGGCACGTGCTATGAAAGAACTAGGTAGGTACCTTGCACCCTAAATGTTCAGCATAATTCTTTCTTACCATCACTACTTCAGAAAGGCAATGGTTTTGATAACTAAACTGATCTTTGAGGAAATGTATACACTAACAATAAGGAGCTCTGGTGGTGTAGTGTTTAAGTCATTTGGCTGTTAACACAAAGCTCAGTGGTTCAAGCCCATCAACTGCTCTGTAGAAGAAAGATGAGACTGTCTGCTTCCATAAAGATTTATAGCCTTAGAAACCCAATGGGGATTGCTATGAGTCAGAACAGACTCAATGGCAGTGAGATTTTTGGTTGTTTGTTTGTTTTGTTTTGTTATACAATAATAATAACAAACCAGAAAAAACAATGGTCAAAATGTTCTTATCTTCTAGTTTAGGTGGGAATAATGTAATATTACCTCTCCACATTTCTCTCAGCATTATAGCACAATGAAGGCCTTTTAATGTTTGTTTAAAGAATACATATTAGTGTGCCATGATTATAGATGCCATTATCTACCTTATAAATTTGATTCTCTTCCAAAGCAGGTGTACATGTGCCTTCCTGAGTCACAGAAAGGAAGAAGCCACCCTTTAACTCCACTGCCAAAGAGCTGCCAACCTTGCTTTCAGGCTTTAAAACAAGTTGCCATTGAGTCAGTTTCAACTCATGGAGACTCCATGTGTGTCAGAGTAGCACTGCTTCGTAGGGTTTTCAATGGTTGATTTTTCATATTAGATCACCTGGCCTTTCTTCGAAGGCACTGCTGGGTGGACTGAACATCCAAACTTTTGGCTACCCCCCAGGGACTCCTAGGCTTAGACCTTATAATGAGTTGATAACACAAGAGTGTCTTGCAGGTCTCTATCAGGGTTGCTGGGAGATTCAATGCCCAAACATATCAACATTCTGAACCATAAAATTGAAGATCATCCTCCTGGTGCAAAAAATAACCTGGAAGTGAAACAGACACATTATTTTAACTTGATATAAACATAATATCTGAGTTGTAATAAGGTCAGATGTGAATTGAGAGAGAGAAAGGAAATATTTAAAAATATATTCATAGTCCCTGGTGTTCACCACACATCTGACAAAGGCACATGGGGAAAGCACAGGGGGCGTTTGCGAGGCAGAGATAGAGCAGGCTTGGGGACAAGGACCTTTATTGTGGTTTCTGTGTCAAACATGACAAGGAGAAGTCAGAGTGTGTGGAGATTTTTTTTGGTGAGCTGTATCTGAAACTCTCACCTTAGGCTTGAGCCGTTTACCAAAGATGACAGTAGGAAGCTTCTTATCTAGACCTAGTAGACATGGGTGGAGAAGGGGTTACTTGACATAGATATGAAAACATCATATTACAGAAGCTAGAAAATAAGTTTAAGACACCACCACCCCAATAATATAGAGTTCATGTATGAGGAATAAAGTAGGGTTTGGTACCAGATAGTGGATAGCAAAAGACACAACAAGCCAGACCTGGAAATGAGGTCAGACTAGAGGCACCTAGCATGACAGGAGTTCTCAAGCCAGACAAGAGGCACTACCAACACAAACCCCAAAATATAGAGTCCAGTGGAAAAACTAGAGTATCTGGGAATCCAAATCAGATAGGCAAGAGAACATGGGTGGATAAGCCATCCAGATGAAGTGGCTGAGCAAGATCACTTAATCAGAACAATATCTGAGCACAAAAGTCCTGGTTCAAAAGGAAAGTGGGTCATGAGACTGAAAACCCAGAATGGCCTTTTTGTATCCAATGTAGGAGATCCATGTAATCCTAGGACTGGTGCTGCCTATTCTCCATGGGCTTAAGCACAGCCATGATCTGTTTCCAAGGAAACTGGAGGACAGAATTCTGGTGCTATTGGTAAGCAGTGATTGACAGCAGCACTTCCATCAGGGAGAGATAAATTTCCCTGTGTGAGTGTCATACTCTATGGGTTGGAGCAGAAATATTAACTAATGTTCACATGAAATATTTAAAACATTGTCTTTATTTCCTCTGAAAATATTTTGTTATTTTCAGGCTACTTAGAGTATGATCATCCAGAAATTGCCGTCGCTATGAAAACAAAGGAAGAAATTAATGTCATGCTTAATATAGCTAGAGAAATAGTGAAGGTTTTCAGGTTAAAAGGAGTTATTTATAAAAGTGAAAGTTCTGAAATTACTAAGGTAAGAGAGAATATTTTCAAAAAGAACATACTTATTTGACATATAGTCATTTATGGTCTTTAAACCTACTTTTCTTTCCAATATAGGACAATCCTGAGGCATGAACATGTAACTCAAAATAATTTTCTAAAGACGAGCACCACCATAGAGAGTCTCCTTTCTACAGACCCAGTAGTCAGCTTCTCTTCCCATTATTGCCAGTGAGGGACCGTCTCTTTCTCAGCTTTGTTCACAAAGCAAGGGTTTGCTGAACCTATTCTTCATCCAGGGATAGATTGAGTGTTAATATGATCCTGGGAATTATCTGTGACACTGAAATAGAGATAGAAAGGGTTCTAACTCATTCTATAAGATATCAAATTGGGAATAATTAAAGAAAAAAAAAATATCATAAAGCTTTAATACTTGTGAAAACATACACAAAACTCCTAAATACAATAGTTGACCATTGAGTCTGACAGAATTAAAAAATATATAACTATTTTTATCTCCATCAAGTAGCTATGTAATTCATTTATAAAGAGAACAATAAATGGAAAACAATTGTTATAGTTCAGGCCTCATTCAGAATGTTCAAGAAATTCTTAGCAGGCTAGTATGAAAGGACCATCCTTAGTTTGATAAAGGGCATTATTAAAAATATGCAGTGAACATTGTATTGTTGTTGTTGTTATGTGCCGTCGAGTTATCTCCAACTCATAGCGACCCCTCACTGAGTTTCTGAGGCAGTATCACTATGGAAGTAGATTGCCCAATCCTCCTTCCGAGGAGTGGTTGGTGGGTTTGAACCTCCAACCTTCTGGTTAGCAGTCAAGTGCCTTAGGCATTATGCCACAAGCACTCCTGAACTTGTATTAGAAGGCAAAATATTTGGACCACCATCATTCCAAGTATTGAATGAGAAACCTAGAAATCTTAGCCAGGACAAGAAGGGAGGAAAGGAATTTGAGAGATGGAAATTTAAGAAAATATATTTGTAAATTTTTAAATTAAAAATCCTAGAGAGTTAACTGGAAAGCTTTAGGATTAGTCATCTAAGGTGCAGTTAGTGGTCTCTCCCTGTCCAAAGCAAAGCAGAGTGAAGAAAATCAAAGACATATGGAAACAATTAGTCCAAAGGACTAATGGATCATGAGAACCACAGTCTCCAAGACCCTGAGACCAGAAGAACTAGATAGTTCCTGGCCACCACTACCAACTGCTTTGAAATGGATCACAGTAGAAGATCTTGGATAGAGTGGAGAAAATGTAGAACAAAACTCAAAATCTTACAAAAGACCATGCTTACTAGTCTAATAAAAGCTGGCCCTTAGCTACTCTTCAAGCCTGGAACTGAACCTACCCTCTGTGGCTCAACTTTCAGCCAGACAATAGACAGGCCTACAAGGTGAACAATAACACTAGGGAGGTACACACCCCTTAGAACAGTCAACCTTCTGTGACCAAAAGGTCAGTACTTGCCAAGGGACAAAGCTTAGAAGACAGAAAGGGATAGCAAAGAGGACAAATAGAAATGAGAAACAGAGAGGAACTAGGAAGAGAGTTGTTACATTGTGGGGATTGCAATTAATGTCACATAACAAAATATGCATGGACAATTGAATGAAAAACCAGTTCACTCTGTAAACTTTTAATCAAATCACAATAAAATTTAAAAGAAGAAGAAAAAAGAAACACAGGATCAGTAAGAATGATGAAGTGTTCAGAAACAAGTCAGTATAGAAAATTCTGCCCTAACAATAAGAAAATATAGAAGAAAATGCTTTTCACAATAGCAATTAAAAACTCTAAATATTGAAGTATGAACCTAACACAAAATACACAACACTTATGAGTGTTGGGCAGCTGGTGGTAGTTATTTCCCATGATGAGACTGGCAATCAACTCCATCGTGGGATCAACCACAAGCAGCTGAGTAGCTGCCTTTGGGATATGGTCTGCTTCCTGTATATAAGGAAAAGCCTTGGGAATGGTCTCTATCCTATGGCATGCTTGGACCCTACATGTAGCAGTGTTGTTGCTCAGCAGCCTGCTGTGCTCTGCTGACCTTGGAACTTACAAAGGATTTAAGTTAATGGCCTGCTGTGTGGTTTGGTAACATCAGGACTGTGCTTTTTTACTTGTCAACCTTGGGGCTTCTCAGCCTCAGCAGCCAGCAGCAAGAGACCAACATGAGAGACGACAGGAGCAGAGCCAAGAGAACCAGCATGAGACAGCGATAGCCTTACCAGCCCACAGAGGAAAATGCTTAATGCCTTCAGTTAGGTGGCTTCCTGGTGGAGTGGGTTGCCTTCAGGCATTAATTGGTAGAAGAGACCGACTTGAAATGGAGTAGCAGGCTGGCCAGCCCACGGACAAAAAAGCTAAATGTCCTTTGGGGTAAGAAGATTCCTGGCGGAGTGGGTTGCCCTCGGGCATTAATTGGCAGAAGCAGAGACCAAGGAAATGGAAGCAGAGCTGCCTCATCCTGAAAGGGTAGGACCATGGCCTGTGGGGATGGAATGACCACAGCCTCCTAGGTTTCAAAGAGCCAGGCCTTCACCAACTTGGTTCTGGAGTGTGGGGCTGCTCATTCATGTGAGGCAGTTGGATGGAGCCATAGCCGCTGCCCAAGAGTGAGGGGGTGGGGCTGCCATTCCCAAGAGGGAGAGGAACGGGACCCACCAGGCCAAGGGGGTGAGGTCACCACTCAGGAACTAAGGGACTGGAGCCACCCAGTGAAGGAGACCTGTACAGATAACACCCACTGAAGTTCTGTACAGGTGCCAAGTTGACAAGGGTTGGAATTGTGGTGGTTACATTTTGTGTCACCTTGGCTGGGCCTGGTTAAGTGGCTAGACAGCTGGTGGTAGGTGTTCCCCATGATGAGACTGGCAATCAACTCCATGGTGGGATCTACCACAAGCAGCTGAATAGCTACCTTTGAGATGTGGTCTGCTTCCAGTATATAAGGAGAAGCCTTGGGAATGGTTTCTAGCTTATGGCACACTTGGACCCTGAAAGTTGCCATGTCTTTGTTGAGCAGTATATCATGCTCTGCCAACTTTGGGACTTACAATGGACTTAAGTTAATGGTCTGCCGTGTGGTTTGGTAACATCAGGACTCTGCCTTTTTTACTTGTCAACCTTGGGGCTTCTCAGCCTCAGCAGCCAGCAGCTGTCTGAGTGAAGAAATGCCTCTAGCTCTAGTGGCTGGGAGCAGGAGGCAGAGCTGGACCCCAAGGTTGAGGGGCTTTCACCCAGCTTCTAGAGCCTGGCACTTTGAACTTGGACTTAAAGCTTCCAAATTGTAAGAATAAACTCCTATTTGTTAAGGCCATCCGATTTGTGGTATATCTCTGTCAGAGCAGCACTAGGTAACAAGAACAATGCCTTTCAGTTGTGGTAATGGTGAAGAATACTGAAAAAATCATGGACTACCAGAAGAACTGACAAATTTGTCCTAGAAGAAGTGCAGCTGGAATGCTCCTTGAAAATGAGAATGGCCAGACTGCATCTCACCTATTTTGGTCATGTTTTCAGAAGGGACCATTCCCTGGAGAAGGATAATATGCTTGGTAAAGTAGAGGTTCAAAGGAAAATGGAAACACCCTCAATTAGATGGATTGACAGACATCACATTGAGATGATGGACTCATGCATAGAAAGGATTGTGAAGTGGCATACAATTAGGCTTTAATTCTGTTGTATGTAGTGTCATGACTTGACAGCACCTAACAACAGAAACCCTTTGAATCAGCAATTTTATGTGTCAAAATTTTACAGATATTCAAAAGAAAACAAAGACGTATGTATGTTCGAACACATTATGTTAGAAATAACCTACATGTTTATCAACTTGGGGGGTAATTATGTAAAGTGTGATGCACCCATGAAAATGAACATTATATATAAATTAAGAATATATACTGACATGAAAAGTTCACAGATTTTGTTAAATTTCTATATACATATACCTATGTAATATTTGGGAGCTCTGGTAGCATAGTGCCTAAGGCACTTGACTGCTAACCAGAAGGGTGGTGGTTCAAACCCACCAGCCACTCCTCGAAAGGAAGGTTAGGCAATCTACTTCTATTGTGATACTGCCTCAGAACCCAAGGAGGGGTCGCTGTGAGTCGGGTCTGACTCGATGGCACATAACAACAACAACAATGTAATATTTAGTAAAAAGAGCTAGAATGATATATATCAAACTTTTTATATTGAGTGCATCTGGAGGAAAGAATGAGAAGAATAAAGGGAAGATGAAGAGATCCTTAGCTTTTTATTCTATATTTTCCATAATGCTTACAATTCTTGCTTGAACGTGTTCTCTGTTATCAGCTGCATAATCAATAAACTGATAGTTAAAAGGAAATTTAGTAGTGATCTATGAGTCCCTCAGTAGTGCAAATGGCTAAGTACTGACTACTGGCCAGACAAAAGGTTGGTGCTTTGAATCCATCCAGAGGACATAGCCAAAATAAAATGAGAATACAAGATTATGAACGGGGAACCAGAGACATCAATTGGCAAACGAGGACAACTACAAACAAAAAGAGGGAAAAGACTGTGCAGTTATAGAACTTCTAAATAGTAAGGAAGTTAAGAGAGTTGCAAGACAGAATAGACTGTTCTAAACTCAGGGAGAAAAGTATAAATCATAAGGTAACCTCAAAGAAAAATGATAAACCTTCATATTACAATAAAAAAGAGGACAATCACAAATACCCAGCAAATACTAAAACAACAGCAACAAAGGAAATGGTAACAGGAT